TGTGTGTTTGTGGTTGTGTGTTTGTGGTTGTGTGTTTGTGGTTGTGTCTTTGTGGTTGTGTCTTTGTGGTTGTGTCTTTGTGGTTGTGTCTTTGTGGTTGTGTGTTTGTGGTTGTGTGTTTGTTGTTGTGTGTGTGTGGTTGTGTGTTTGTGGTTGTGTTTGTTGTTGTGTTTGTGGTTGTGTGTTTGTGGTTGTGTGTCTGTGGTTGTGGTTGTGTCTTTGTGGTTGTGTGTTTGTAGTTGTGGTTGTGTGTTTGCTGTTGTGTGTTTGTGATTCTCTGTTTGTGGTTGTGTGTTTGTTGTTGTGTTGTGGTTGTGTGTTTGTGGTTGTGTGTTTGTGGTTGTGTTTGTTGTTGTGTTTGTGGTTGTGTGTTTGTTGTTGTGATTGTGGCTGTGTGTTTGCGGTTGTGTGTTTGTGGTTGTGTGTTTGTGATTTTTCTCTGCTTGTGATTTTTCTCTGTTTGTGGTTGTGTGTTTGTTGTTGTGTTGTGGTTGTGTGTTTGTGGTTGTGTGTTTGTGGTTGTGTGCTGTGGTTGAGGTCCGGCAGGGAACACTGGGCGTGGATGGTCGTGGTTGAGGTCCGGCAGGGAACGCTGGGCGTGGATGGTCGTGGTTGAGGTCCGGCAGGGAACACTGGGCGTGGATGGTCGTGGTTGAGGTCCGGCGGAGGAGGACGCGGAGGAGGAGAAGGAGGAGGAGGAGATGGGGCTGACGAAAAATCTAACAACCCTCACCTGACAGGTGGGGAACAAAAACATACAGTCATGGCTCATGGATGGTCATGGTCATGGGATGTTCATGGGTGGTCCATTCCTCTGCCATGGTCATGGCTCATGGCTTCAAGGTGCGCCTGCATCACTTGCGATCAAATAACCACCTGCTTTATTTGCATCGAGGGAAACGGGCGCCGCTAAATCTGCATTTGGTGCGGATGTTTTTCTGCGACAAACCACCTGAAATAGCAAACACATGCAAACACCATCAAGCCGGTGGTGGGGCATGGTAGCGCCCCATCAACATCCGCAGCAAGGACACCACCTCCTGCGTCCCATCTTCTCCGAAGCCACGAGGCTGCAGCTCCACTGACCGCGATCGCATCCGCCCATGAGACATGGCACATGTTCACCATCTCCTCGACGAGCCGGGCCAGTGGCCAAAACCAAGTGAGATGAGAATTGGCTGGCTAGGTTTTGGTTGACGGTGGATTTTAAAACACAACTCGACGCGCGAATGTCCTCGATGGCCCGCAGCGCCCGCTGCAAGCTTGGCCCCAGATTTTCATTCCGCTCCAGCTCAAAACCTGGGGCGGTCGGAGAGGAGGCGGGACTGATGCAGTCTTGTTATCGGGCCTCTCATGTACCCGTTGCGATTGATTGGTGGAACATGGTGGAACATATATAAATTAAATGCACACCATTTACTGTGCTGCGTGTGGGTCTCTTCTTTCACGAATCTGTTTTCGTGTGCAGTGGGAAGTATATAATAAGAGTTTCTCTACGTCAATGAGAAGTACCGTATGTTGTTGCTCCTTTTAATGTTCTTTTTTTTAAAAGAACTTAGACTCTATAGATGGATGTGGACACCCGAAAACAAGACGATTGACAAGGACGTGAATGGGAAGAGCCAGCACGATACATGCTTGGCGTGCTGCTTGTTTTTTGCAGAAGAAAGATACGGAAGTACAGGATCCCGACCATTCAACCTGAAATTACAGCCCCCCAAAAGCCCTGTGGGTCAACTTCCAACCCTGCGAAAAGTATGCCTGGCCCGGAGGGCAAGAAAGACCCACCTTCAAATTCAAACAAAGGTTGAAGCTGAAGAAGACCCGTGGCACATAGTTGTTCAACAGATTCGGAGGGGGCGTGCCCGCGTCCTACTGTGATCTCCCCACGTCTCGTAACATCCGAATCCCAAACAGTCGAACTCCCATGCGAGGTTCGTATGGAGCCATTGGGTCCTTGTCCATCCCCACGTTTGGTTGCAGCATCATGGAAGGCCAAGCGCAAGAAGCTTGGCGCCGAGTCTGGCATCATCTCCTTGGCTCCACTTCCACCCTGTTATTTACTCGCACCAAATACCCAGTTCACACGGAAAGTGCCCCAAAATCTCCAAAGCATCCCTAGGAGCGCGCATAAACCCAAACAGCTAGCATACATGTTGCCTTCTCCAGACAGCCGTAGCCTTCAAATCTTCGAGCCGAGGCCAAGAAGCCTTCACCACTACATGTCAGGCAAGCGGGATGTCCCTGATATGAATGAAAATGCGATTCATTCCTGCACCACTGGACCAGTAGCCGGGTGGCCATGATCAAATGTAGGATCTCTGAGAGCTTGGTTGATGAATGCCCTATAGTCCCTAGTCCCTAGAGACTAACAATTCTACTCCTAGATCACCATAGCTATCGTCCTGCTAATTACCCTCACCTCTCACATCCTCAGAAATCAACAGCCAGGAACCTCGCAAATGCACTGCTCGATCTTAACCCAGACATTTACCTTTCATCCTTCCCAAAAGCCAACTTCCCGTCAAGCATCCACATACTTCTTGGCTATGGACCGGATGCAGCCATCAGCCGCATTCGCTGCGTTCTTCGCAGCGAAAGCCCCGGCCCAGTCCGTCGCGTCCGGCCGTGCATTCGCTGCGACGGAGACGGGGGTCGACAGCCCCAGGAAGCTCGCCAACAGCCGGCGCCGTGTGGAGTCAAGCGGCACGTGGAGGCACCAGGGGAGACTAGGCCAAGCAACCAAGAGCACGGCCCAGCAGCAGCGGCGCAAGGGAGGCATGTGCAAGTTGGCAATTTGCAAAGCTCTACTAAGCTCACCTATTATATAAGTTGAACTTGACGGAAGGATATCCATATCCATGCATGCATGTATTATGCATAGTTATGCATGCCTCAACATCTCTTCCTCGGGTTTTGAGCATCTATGTGCGCATACAGCGCACTCGCAAGTAGGTAAATGTGTTCCATGGTAGTTAGGTAAATGCTTCTTATTGATTCGTTGGAAAAAAGGTGGATTGGTGGGTGAGGCCGGGCTGTCAGGAATGGCTGCCCAGATCGTGCTAAGGTCGTGGTTTGCGTCATGCAGACCTCGCTGCGAACGGCCAGGCAGCTGCGACCGGGCAAAACCACGAACAGTCCCTCCCGTTCTGAGTCAACCAGCAACCAACATTCATCCTCGATGAATACCGAAATCCTGCAAAAAGGACCCCAGTCAGCACCGGAAACCATACCATAGTGTCTGGGATACTCCATACCCCATACCAAAGACCTGTATCATGCTGTTGCCCCAAATCGCCGCATTCGCTCGCCAGCCCATGCGGACTCTGAGCTTCTGGAGCTAAGAGGTTGGGAAGCAGTGGGGGTATGACCATGTTATAATATATATATATATACCTTGTCTATATATGAAAAGCCGCTCGAGCTTTTTTCAAAACAAGAAAAATGCTAAGGGTTCAGGGTAGTAATCCACTTAGGCCGTAAGTTCGGATCATTTTTCCGACAATCTTGACGGTTTTCACAGTGCAGGTCGTGCTGGCCTACACCTCGGTCAACTGGGCCTTCCCACGCAGCTCGGCCCGGAGCTTCTGGCGCCTGGGTGATGGAAGCGGGTCTGTGAAGAAAGGACAAACGCATGCCGACGAACACACACAACAAAGCGTTCAGCTCATGCTCGTAAAGGAAAGAGGACATAGCATTCCATGGGACCATGAGATCCACTTCCCACATGCGATGTGTTCGAAAAAGAGTGTGCAACATGTTTGGCAAGCTGAAGACGCACAACCACAACCCTCTCGTCGATGGAGGACGCAAACCCCCGCAGAGACGGGGTGTTTCACATGGAGGCCGACCAGGGAGGCACCGGACTGGGAAAGCCCAGGTTCTTTCTCAGAAGCCCTACAGCCCTACGGATCCACATACCAGTGAAGGTGATTGGAAACTCCAAGCCTGAAGAGTCTCCAATCACCTTCTCAGAGGGTACGTGCTCCTTCAGTAGGCTCATAGTTTGTCCTGTGGTGGGAGAGCATGTTTGGGCCATTCCATGTGCAAATAACACCAAAAATCCATCAAAGTCCTAACTAATTGCATCGATGAAACACAAATGAACTACGACGCACAACAAATCGGAATCGATCTCTCCATGTCAGGCTAGTCGGTTGTTTGTTTACATGCAGAACTCCTGCGCTGCAAATGTGGTCCTACACTCCATGACGAGTGACTGCATACTGCATAACTGCTCAAAACGTATAGAACACCCAAAAACACACACACACACACACACACACACACACGCACACATTTCAAGGCCATTTAAAACACAATATCATATATGACAATATATTACAATACACCTGCTATCTCTGAGGCTTCCTTCTATGGAGGGGCGTGACCGGCAAAAAACATATTGATCCTCCCAGGAGCCCCCCCCCATGACAGCACCGGAACATGTGCCTCCAGCCCTGCAGCTTGCAGCTCGGCATCATAGCTGAAGCCCTGAGCGCCCTCAGCTTGCAGCTCGCTGTCCCGGTGGCCAAACCAAACCATCCTTAAGTCCATTTGTCAGATCACCAAACCAACTTCTGCAAAACCTATGCGCAACACTTTCAGGGACAAGTTTTGTTGGGAGAGTCAATGGCACAACCCCAGAGGTGGCTGCGCCATGTGGACTGGCAACGGGAACAACGGGAATGTCCCCTAACTCCGGAGCACGCTGCGCTCCCAGGAGACGCAGCAGAAGCACGCTGCGAGCCCCTCCGCAGCACTAGTTTGATTACAGCATGGCCAAAACATGACAGCTGCACAAAAAAAGCATCCATTCTACAATCACGATCCCAGCTACATATAGCTACAGAAGGGCGATTTTTATTCAGCTCATGTGGTCTATATGATTCTAGGTTTGGGACATCTACTCTGAGCTAAGCTGAATCACCCTCTCAGAAGTCTGAATCACCCGCTCTCAACGTGATCCCCAAGAATCTCAAGACATATTCCTGTCCTTTCCTCGAGGTTCCACAAGAATCCGTAGGGATCCAAGTACCTTCTCAGAAGAGTTGTGTTTTTTTTTGTGGTGTGGGCCTTATACACTGGGTCTGTACCTACGCGGGTGCCTACGCCTGGGCTCCCCTCTCAAGCAAATGCCTACGCGAGAGGTTCTCTTTGTTAGGTGCCTACGCGGGATGCCTACGCAGGGTACTGTCACCAACTTTAGTCACATCAGGTGACTCGAAAAGAGCTATATAATCCGCAAGTAGTGGCCCGATGCGACCGGGTCACATCAGGTTCCTGTTTACAAGGCGTTTGCAGCTTTGCTACCGATGGCCAGATAGATTTTGTATCAAGCCGATCCAATTACAGTGTGGAAGCAGCAGCACATAAACAGCGCACAACAAGCAGCAAACAAGCAGCAGAAAACAAGAGGCAGCAGCACCAGCAGCAGCAGCAGCCAAGCAGCAGCAAAAGCAGCAGCAAAAGCAGCAGCCAAGCAGTAGCAGCAGCCAATAGCTTCTTGCCTACGCGCTGCTTCCGCGAGCGCCTACGCTGGGCCTACGCGAAAATAGGTCCATTGATTATGGTACCAACAGGGTGCGCACAGTTGTAGCTCAAGAGCCGGTGTGCCAGACCAAGCACGATCAAGCTTTTGACCTCAAAAACCAATGTGCCCCCATAGCTTCGACAAACAAACTTCAAACATCCACTGTAGCCATGTCGTTACAATTCATTTTCATTTTCCTTCCCCACTGGAATTTGCAAGCAAGTGTCAAGTTAAACAAGCCAACATTATCTTTCCCCAAGACCCTTGAACAACTTTTAAAGAAGTCTGAATAAGAAAACTCAGGCTTTCATGAAAAGGGTGCCTACGCAAGACTGCCTACGCAAATCTTTCAACACCCACCTACGCAAAATGCTTACACGACGCCTACGCCCCAAGCAGAACAGCCTCCGCGACTTCTCAACAGTTCCCTTTTTGTATAAACCTAATCATTTGCAAAAAAAACGTGGCTCAGAAGGTGATTGGAGACTATTTAAGTAGGCTTGGAGGGTCCAATTACCTTCTGAGAAGGTATGTGGATCCCTAGGGAATATATAATATATTTTTTTTTTTCCAAGACATCCAGGCATGACCCAAACCCCTTCATTCCTTGAGGTGAACCCAGTCCGATCCATCCCAGCAGTCGCCTTAGAGACGGGGCTGCGAGTCTCTCCGCCTTGGAGGCCGCAAAGGTCGAGCGCTCGTCACTCCCGGACCACTGCTACTCACTCCCGCACCAAGCGGGGAGTTTGTCGAACTTTCAGAGCGGAAGATCTTCATTTTGGGTGCCAGAATCCTGCCCATTTGGGGGCTGGCATTTGATAGATGATGCACGGTGGATGCGCATTCTCGGAAAAACCATGCTGATGGTAGAGGAAGCTTGGGTCTACCTCGAAAGAAAAGTGTGTGACTCATCTGGGTGCTCCAGTCCCCAAGTCGAATACGCGGCCTGGTCGTCCACCCGGTGGGTCCATGGGCTTCACTGGATCCGGACGACCTGTTGCAAAGAGATGTCCACAGAGAAGTCGGGCGCACAAAAAGACATGCGCAAAGTCTATCTTATTATAAGACTTCTTTGACCATATCCGTCAAGCATACATGTATCCGACTTGAGGCAAATGTGAGGCTCCAAGCATCTTGAACAAACGCAGTGACACCCTGGGAGATATGACCTTGTAAGCACTGAAACGAGGCATCTCAAACATGGATCGCCTTAATTAATCATCTGAATGCGTCACACCCCGTGGTCTTCCCAACAATTTTCCTCCAGACACTCTCGCGCCGTCTAGGCCTCCACCAGTTTCAGCGGGGCCCCAGCGGTGAAAAGGCCCTTGTTAGGAGTGCGGTTTCCCCCAAACAAATCCAAACCTTATAATCTAATTAGATTTGCTTAAGGATCCCGGAAAATGCAACACATTCCCCAGCTTAGGGGATTTGACCATATGAAAAAAGACCTGCCCGGAAATCCCGGAACGTGCTGGGTTGAGAAGGGTGCTGGCACACCACTGAACTGGACCACAGAGTGTTAAATAGAGGCCGCTGACGGTGATCCTTCCTGGAAAGTCGAACGCTTCAAGCCGGCCGAAGGAAGGAACGACCTAGATCTCAGTGGCAGTCCTGTATGGCAAAATGGGGCGTGAACTGAATGTTGGACATGAATCAGCCATTCTATTTGGAAACTGCATCAAACACGGGCCAATCCACCATTATGTGTATAGCCCTCTCCACAGGCGATGCTCTCTTGGAGTGACACGAACTAGCCAGGGCACTACTCCGCAGCTGCACCGTTCTGGTGCAAAATATGTCGCTGTATATTACAATTCTTACGGCAACACGCCCCCTCAAGAATTAAGAACTATCTTTGTGTATTGGTCATTGTTTTCAATGCATCAGGAAAGGCGGTGGCAGGGTGCCAACATGCTGTCCCCCGCCTTTTGGTAATCTGGGGGGCTTCTCACTCGAACATTGGGGCCTTCTTAGAGAATTGTCGTATGTTTGGAGTGGTTTGTGAGGCGATTTTTGCGATTTTGGTGTTGGAAATGACACCACTGAGCTCTCAGGGTGTGGGTGCTTTCGCTGGTTCAAGGGTAAGCCGAACCGTATATATAATTATATATTGTGAATTTAGTAGTTTAATATAGTTTGTTTTCATGAGACCCAAGGCAATTGAATAGTCCAGTAACCCTCCCTGAAACAATCAGGGAAGTGAACATGACCCCTGGAACAAAACACAAACAAACACATGTCTGACCCACCTCACTTTCCAAAAGAAAAGGGTTACACTTT